AGGATCTATGCAGTGAAATCAGATAAAAGAAACAGGAACGGTTAAGCTAAAAAATAGAAAAAACACTAAAACTGATGAGAATTTAGTAAACGACGAGAAACTGTCAAAAATCAGTAAAAACAGTCAAAATCGTTGAAAACAGTTAAAAACTGTTAAAAACAGTCAAAGACAGTTAAAACTAATGAAAAACAGTTTAATTGACACAGAACAGTTCAAAAATTTTCAAACAGTTAAAACACACACAAATCAGATATACGATGATCCAAAAATAAAATCTAAACAAAATTTAAAACTCAAAACCAAAAACACATCTAATATAAGCCCAAGAAATAAATGTCCAAGTCCAAAACAATTATCCAAGTCCAAAACAGAAAGTTTTACAATTATCAATACAAGTCTAAAATATAGCTACAATGTAGCTTCACTGATATGAATTCTCTTCAGAGTATGCTTAGACTTGATCTCAGACACACAATTTCACTTCACTCTTCTATCTTCAACTTTTAGTTTCCCTCTAACTGTAGTTGACTTMTGATCCTCCTTTAATGCAAATGAGTCTGAGAGCAAATGATTAGTGTGTACTACTATCCAATGAAGTTCAGACTATCGGAGTCTTCTATGTAAGTACACTTTGTCCCACCTGGACTATGTAGCTAATAAAAGCTGTCACAAAAACAGTCGAACTATCAAATGACCAACGTGGGCATCTTGATTAAGAAAACATAGTTGCTGTCAATTGTCTAACCTAGAGGACTGAGCTGTCCACTGTTGCTGTTATGGCCAAGTCTGTTCCAATCCTCAAGGAAACAGCAGGAACAAAACAATCTTTAATCAACTCAGATAGTTCTAGTCCACAAATTTACATACACCCCAACAACAAGAAGCTCAATGTCAAAGTAATGTACCTGTGTAGCTAATAGAGACTGTCAAGATGAAACAAAACAGCAACAACTTCAAACAAATAGTAACTACACTCTAAACATGYTTTAAACAGTCTCCTTCTTTGTCCCGGGCTGCTGTTCCAGTGCACAAATTTACACTACTGTATATGATGATCGTGAGGGAACAGAAGAAATGAATACAGCAGCTTCAAATCTGTTTTAAAACAATTAAAATTGCATACTAAACCTGCTGTTCATTACTAAACCAGACAAAGTAGAAACATCAACACCTCACTGCATAAACTGTAAAATTCAACTTAAAACAACAACAGCTTTGATGTTGCAATAAAATTGTTTCAAACTATCACAGTGCTGAATACATAAGTACATAAACCTGCTCAAATCACTCATTTTAAACAATGGAGCTCAAAACAGGCTGTTTCAATATTGAACTCAAAACAGATTATGTAATGTAGACAGTAAGCAAACCTCAAGCTTTGCAATATCTCTAACACAGTTCTAGAAATCAATGTGTGAGGAAGATGAAGTCTGGGTTGCTGTTCCAGCTCACAAAATCACAAACACACAGCAACTAACAAATGTAATTCCTCTACTCTTCTCTGTTAAGCATTTGCTATATCCAGGTGATTCTGAACTTCAAACTCAAACAGCAACAGCTTCAATACTGCATTCTTTCACTTCACAGAAATATAATCTTTTGCACACAGGGGACCTGTCTCTGCTGTTAGATTTGATGACAGYTTTTGTCAAGAAACACACAGCACTAGAGGTATTAGCTATGATAAACAGCAAGTAAATATCAGTCTGGGAATCAAGCCTGTCCTTCGTCTATTCCCTCTGTTCTCTTGAACTAATGTTGGTAAAAGATTTAGCTGTGATTCTTAAATCAAACAACATCAAACAAACAAATACTCAAGACATCATMAAAAACTTGAGTTTAAACCACAAGTTCAAAATACTCAAACTCACTGCATAGTATTTAATGACTAGCAACAACAGCAACAGTGTACAAATCAAGTAAATCACACAAAATATATAACTCTCACAATCTGCTCACTGTTTGCTCACAAAATGGAACAAGAAATCTTTCAACAGAATATCAAATCTAAAAGGATGATAGGAGAAATTCAAATTAGATCAAATTATATCAACAGATACTCAACCACATTGATTTACCTGAGCGATTTACAAAATTAGGTCAAGAGGTATTGAGCGATAAAGAATCTGGTGAGATTGATTGAGCGGTTTAGCAAACCGGATACCTCGATGCATAAATTACTAAGTCCTAAACTGTTCACTAATCCGCTCAACAGTCCTCTCAAAGCTAAACCTAATCCGATCACTAATACGGTCAAGGGTTGTGCGGTTTATATGAACACCGGTCAAGGCATGAACGTTTTAGGAATAAACCGCTCAAAAGTTAACTAAACCTGAGATTGATGAAATACTTACCAGTGATGCCAAGCGATAAAGTGGACTCCGTTCAAGGTGATTGTGCGATTAAGAATCCGTATGCGTCTTCAACACAGATTGGGCGTACCTGCGATTTAGATGTCCATGCGATGAAGATGAATCCCCATGAAGTTCTGGTTTTAATTGCTCAAACTTTCTGCGATTTAGACATTCGTTCAAGTCAGCGATTTAGATTATTGGGTTGGCCTAAGAACATCTAAACTGGATGGGCCTTGAAGATGGGCTAAGTATTTGGACGGTTTAACAAAAAAATTAGAAAAATCAAAATTAAAAACAGATCAAAAAACATTCAAAAACACAAACACAAAAAAAAAAATGGATCAAACACACTGGTTTTTAAAAAAAATTTAAGAACACGAAAACTTTAAACAAAATTAAAACGATTAAATCTTGAAAATCAATGACGAAATTACAAAACTTTGAGCTTAACAAAGATTCACAATGCAATTTCGAGSAGTTTGATCACGATTTAAACACAAAAACACGAGATTTTAAGAAAAAAATCGGATCAAAATTTAAAAAAAAATTGAAGAACACGAATAACAAAAAAAAAGCAGAAAATAAAATCTTCAAAAACTCTGATTTCCTTTCCTGATTTCTTGCATAACTTGCTTTGATACCAAATGTGAGTCCCTAAAATCACTGATCTATCTTCAATAATCTTCACAATATGGCAGAATCTGGATATAGCRTTCAAGAACACCAAGAACATTGAGAGAGAAAGTCAATCTTTACAATATGGTCAAACCTCTCATTACGTATCAAATCTTACAAATGAGCTCTCTTACCTCAAATTACAAAGACCATCTACTATTTATATGGTCAAACTATTAAAGACAAGTCAAAGTCAAACTCCTATAAGAAGTCAAACACGTTGACTTTTACAATTATAGACTATATTTAACTTTCAAGACGAATACAATTAATACTGATTTTCAGTCCTAACATAAGACGATTACAATTTGGAAGCACACTAAATTACAAAGACCTAGCTGCTATTTATACTAGTCTCTAACGGCTTTTCTGACATGACCTAGACGTGTGAAATGATCCAAGCCGTCCAAATAAAGTCGATTACAAACATAGTCACGTGAGAAGCACGTGCAGCTAACTATCTAAGTAAAACAGCAAGAAGAGGTTCTCCACAGAAGATGAACCGCAGACCCTCTGTGAGCCATCCCAGAGGCTCTGGTGCATATGACTTGTAAGCTCTTGATAACGGAGGACCATTTTCCAGAACCTCTGTGAGAGACAACAGAGGTTCTGTCAATCTTGACTTGTACGATCAAACAGCTTCTGTTGCTGGTCCTCTGTTGTCTTCTGTGGAAGAAACCCTTCTGTCAACACTTGCAGAAATCTTTTTCATACTTGTACATTAATCAAATATCGGAGCTAACAGGTATATCTAGACTTGGATCAGCCAAACATTTCCATAGATTCGACACATGAAAAGTGTTATGAATCAGAATCAACTCTTCTGGCAACTGTAACTGATATGCTACTGGCCCAATTCGCTTACATATTCTGAACGGCCCCACATATCTCGGACTGAGCTTCCCTTTCTTTCCAAATCTGATGACACCCTTCCATGGCGAAACTTTTAACATCACAAAATCACCTATACTAAACTCAATTGGCTTTCGACGATTATCTGCATAAATTTTCTGGCGATCTTGTGCTGTTTTTATTCTTTCAAGGATTTGTTCAATCTTTTCAGAAGTTTCTTGAACAATTTCAGGACCTGTCAGCTATTTCTCACCCACTTCATTCCAACATTACGGCGTTCGACATTTACGTCCATACAAGACTTCATATGGTGCCGCTTGAATACTGGAATGATAACTATTGTTATACGCAAACTCTATCAATGGCAAGTGATCTTCCCACGATCCTCCTAAATCAATAATACAGCTTCTCAACATATCTTCGAGAGTCTGTATAGTTCTCTCACTTTGCCCATCTGTTTGCGGATGATATGTTGTACTTAACCGAATTTCAGACCCCAAAGCTTTCTGTAGTCCTTCCCAGAATTAGGAAGCAAACCGACTATCTCTATCAGAGATAATAGACAATGGAACACCGTGTCTGGTAACAATTTCTTTGATGTAAATCTGCGCTAGTTTTTCTARAGAGTATTTCTCTCTCATTGGTAGAAAATGTGCAGATTTAGACAAACGATCCACAATTACCCAAATCGCATCATACCCTTTGGAGTTCGAGGTAATTTCATAACAAAATCCATGGTAATGTGATCCCATTTCCATATAGGTATTTCTAAGAATCGAAGACTTCCATACRGCTTCTGATGTTCAATCTTAACCTGTAAACATGTCAGATACTGTTCCACATACCGAGCTATGTCTCTTTTCAATCCTGGCCACCAATAAAAAGGTTTCAAATCTATATACATCTTATTGGTGCCTGGATGGATAGAGTATCGGGATTTATGACTTTCATTTAATATCATATTTCGGATATCTCCAAAATATGGTACCCAAATTCGCCCTTGAAAACACATAATTCCTTTGTCATTTGGTTCCAAGGTTGAAATCATCATACCCAACCTTTCTGATTTGATAAGATCTTCTTTCATAGCTTCCTTCTGACATCTCAGAACTTCTTTATGAATATCAGGGATCAAATTCATTCTCATTGCTATTGCTTTWATGGTCCACTCTTTTCCTTCCTGCGCAAAGCGTCAGCCACCACGTTAACTTTTCTTGGGTGGTAAAGAATTTCACAATCATAATCATTAACTAACTTAATCCACCGACGCTGTTGCATGTTTAATTCTTTCTGACTGAACAAATGCTGTAAACTCTTATGATATGTGTAAATTTGTCACTTTGTTCCCAGAAGATAATGCCTCCAGATTTTTAGAGCGAACACTACCGCAGCTAACTCCATATCATGAGTCGGATACTGCTTCTCATGATCTTTCAATTGTCTTGACGCATAAGAAATCACTTTTCCTTTTTGCATCAGAACGCAGCCTAATCCTAACTTTGAAGCATCGCTGTATTTCACAAAGTCTTCAGATCCATCTGGTAAAGTTAACACCGACGCACTATTGAGGTGATCCTTTAATAGTTGGAAAGCTTCTTGTTGTTCTTTTTCCCACTGAAACTTAACATTCTTTCTAGTCAATTTGGTTAATGGCACGGATATTTTAGAAAAGTTTTGAATAAACTTCTGATAGTAACCTGCCAAACCCAAAAAGCTACGGACTTCAGACGGATTTTTTGGAGCTTCCCATCTTGCAACTGCTTCTATTTTTACTGGATCTACTTGTACTCCAGCTTCTGAGATAACATGACCCAAAAATTGAACTTCTCTTAACCAAAACTCACACTTAAATAACTTTGCGTACAACTTTTCTTTTCTCAACATTTCCAATATCAAACGAAGATGTTTTGCATGTTCTTCTTCAGTCTTAGAGTATATAAGAATATCATCGATAAATACAATAACAAATTTATCAAGATATTCCTTACATACCCTATTCATTARATCCATAAATGWTGCGGGCGCAYTAGTTAAACCGAATGGCRTAACTAAGAATTCGTGATGCCCGKACMTTGTTCTGAATGCTGTTATGGCAACATCTTCTTCCCTAACTTTAAGCTGATGATATCCTGACCTCAAATCGATTTTAGAGAAATAACTTGCTCCTATCTGTTGATCAAACAAGTCATCAATCCTCGGTAAAGGATACTTGTTTTTAATTGTCAATTTATTCAACTCACAATAGTCTATACACATTCTCATAGACCCATCCTTCTTCTTAACAAATAAGACCGGAGCACCCCAAGGCGAAGTGCTGGGCCTAATAAATCCCTTATCAGTTAAATCTTTCAACTGTGCCATGAATTCTTTCAATTCAGATGGAGCTAAAAGGTAAGGCACTTTTGCTACTGTTGCAGCCCCTGATACTAAATCAATTCGGAACTCGATGACTCTGTCCGGTGGTAATCCAGATAAGTCTTCTGGAAAAACTTCTGGATATTCACTAACAATCGGAATCGATTCTTTTTTTATCTTTTCTTTCTTCAAATCAATTACATATGCCAAACATCCTTGGCACTTCTTTGGAATACTTTTCTGGGCTTTCATTACTGACAAAATATTGGTATGATGATTCTGACAATCACCATAAATAACAACTGTTCTCTGGTCTGGCAGAATAATTCTGATTATTTTCTGATTACAAACAATGCTAGCCTGATACTTTGCCAACCAGTCCATACCCACTACTACRTCAAATTCTTTCATTGGCATGAGAAATAACCGGATCGGAAGTTCACAATCCTCAATAATATAATATAGTTATTGAACACACTAGTAACAGTTTCCTGACTATTAGCAGTATCAACTACTAATTTATCATTAAGTAGCACAAAATTCAGACATGCAGTTTGAGCAAACAATGGTGATACAAACGAAAAGTTTGCACCAGAGTCAAATAACACCTTTACACGTATTGAATTCAGGAGGAATGTACCTGTTATTACATCTAGTGATACTTTTGCCTCGTTTTTAGTCATTTGGAAGGATTGTCCCTGCGCCCCTCCTTGCCCTCCTCTATTCATAGTAGGTATTCCCCGTGTACCCGACGCGTTGCTCCCCATTGTTAACTGTGGAGTTCTCAAGGGACAATTTGGTTGAATATGATCTGGAGAATTGCAATTAAAACATCTTCTGTTAGCTGGGCAATTTCTAGACAGATGACCTGCTTCACCGCATTTATAACATTTCCTTGGGTCCATCTTACATTCACCCTGATGAATTTGTCGGCACTGTGAGCAGACTTTCTCACTGATCTTTTGCTCAGATCTGTTATCATATCTAAACAGTTTTCGGTCCTCGAAAAGATGAAGGCCCCTCCCATTTTCTTTTCTCAACAACCTTTCCTTCTGATTGTCTATTCTTATTTCGTTCGGTCACCTCAGCTGCATCGACTGTTAATGGAAAGGTATTGGGGTTCATAGCAATAACAAACTCTCTAATTGAGGGTTTCAAACCCCAAATATACCTCTCTATCTTCCCGGATTCAGTTGAAACAAAATGGTCAACAAAACGAGAGTATTCA